CAGGTTGGAAGGATTTGTGCAGGTTACTGTATCAAGGATTCGTCCAGGTTAGTGGCAGCTACTTGGAGCCAAGAAATAGTGAGTTCAAGATGTAATCTATACTGATGTTCTTTTATCTATGATGTGTCTATACTCTGTTTCTAAAGTGTCTAAAGTCTACTTCTACTCTGTTCTACTGGAAGAACTCTGCTCTACAACCATGCCATTCACGCTCTACTGGCTGCAGGACTCAGACTTACATTCAGTTTTCTGATGGATTGATGTCTCTGCCTTTTTGAGACACGGCACTGAACACAAGAGCAAGAACAAACAGCATTTATACAAACTCACCCGGTGTAACCTGTAGAATCGTTAGAGCCCTGCTTTAATGGTGTCAGTGCAGCGGCAGGTGTAAAGTGGTCCGTGTGGGTCCTTAATCTTTTACCTCTGGTGAAATTAAACTCATCTAATGGGTGCAGCAGAGAGTGGATCCTAATTTCACTACACTGTCAGGGTGACTGAAAGCTAATTTAGGAGGCGGAGTGTTATCTATAAGCTATTTAATTAAGAGTGTTAGTAAAAGAGAGAGGGAGACATGAATGAAATGAGAGAAATGGGAAGAAACTGTACCTCCATCTGCCTCTCCTCATTACTCATCGATGTGTACTCGCCGCCCGACTCCTGGTATAAAGTTTCTGTGGAAACATGAATTCAGTCACTGAAATTTTAATTAAATAAAAGATGACATAAATGTAAGACCTGTGGTCCTGTTTCTCAGTACTGGATCTGATGCGACCATATGGGAGCCATATTCTATCTAAAGGAAAAAGATATGAGTATAAGCTTCGTTCATATTACAAGCAAATGTCGCCCAGATCTGATCCCAGATTTTTCTAATCAGATCTGGGCCACTTCCATATGTCATCTTAATCCGATACATATCCGATCACTGATCATGTGGCGGCTATATGGACGGTTTTATCAGAATTCCTGTGTGTTTTACCCATACAGCCATGGCTTTTCCACGTCATACTTAAATGCCCAGATACTTTACAGTGTCGGAGTCTACCATTGAAACACATTGAAACACAGAAGGCTGCTGTGACTGTCCTACTGCTGCATGAAGGCCCTGACACACCGAGCTGACAGTCGGCTGTCAGTCAATGTTGGGCTGTCGGTGAGCATTCATGGCCCCTGTCACTGCTGTGTGTCCCGCTCTCTTGGCCCTTGTTGGCGCTAGTCAGTGCTAGTCAGATTGTTTTTCACTGATTCAGCATGTTGAATTAGCTTCTGAGCCTCTCAGAGCCCATCAGTGATTGAAATCAGTCTACTTGGCAGTTCAGCTCAGCACACAAAAAGAAAAACCGAAGTGAGGAAAGTAAACAAACGGCTAAAGTCGAGAGGGAGTGAGACCAAAACAAGCTTGTTACATAAGTAAAGATTATTTCTCTTTAGCCATTGAGCTCTTTAGTAGAAATGTTTCTTGATGGTTTGTGCTGTTGTTCACTGGTGCACCATAAATTATAATTTGTTCTTTCAACATTAGATTGTGTTGTTGATGTGCTAACTGGCTAACTAGTGTCAAGACGGTCTTCCAGTTTCCCTTTTTGAATGATGATTACAGACTACCGCCATCTGTTGGTGTGAAACGTTATCTCCTCTCATGCAGGTGCAGAATGTAAATATTTTGTTGGCCATCAGCTGAAGTCTTTGTAGTGTGATCATGTGAATCTTTTTGGCTGAGACACAGGGGACGTCAGGGGACGTCAGGGGACGCAGCTCAGGGCTTCCGTCACCGCTAGTTCTCTGAAATCTGTTTAGGGCCTTTGAGCCTCCCCACTCACCAGCCAATAGATTTCACATGCCAGATGCTTTCTGACAGGGACAACTTGCCTACATGTTATGCCAGCATTGTCATGAGGTGCTGACAGAGATATCTGAATGCAGCCTGGGACATTCTAAGGTTTAGAGGAACTATTCCTCCACCAAACCCTCAATATCACTGCTCGAACATTCCTGACTCCTCTCCCGGCCACACCCACACCTCTGCTAATAGAGCAAGTGGACAGAAAGCCCATTTGTACAACAGCCTGTTATCCCGAAAACGGTGATTGCTCCAAAACGAAGTTCTCCAAAAATACCCTACACATTCTCCCAAACAGAAGCACATAGCTAATCATTATGCAGAATGACTCATCGGCCCTTCCATCTATGGTGATCATTTGGGAGATGGAGCCTGCTCCACATTGTCAGTAATTCTTTTCTCCAAATGCACACACTGATGTCAGATATGGGTCACGTCAAACATGACTGTGAGCAGTCTAGGCAGAAAGATCAGATATGGTGAAAATGGGCAATGAGTCCTTTAAAGTGAACGTTAGCTATGTTTGAATGAGTCAACCTACCTTGTGCTTCATCCACCTCATTTGTTTCTATCTTGTCCATCAGATCGTTGGAGCTCCACTTGGTGATCTCCTTTGCAAACATATCCTCGTTGTCAGAAAAGTCCTCTGTAAGACACACAGAAGATGTCAAACATAAATAACCTGTGACGCCTAAATCAGGTCAAATCAATCTGACCAGAATCAATTTAAACCCAACAATTTAAACTGCCTCACAGGACTGTTTATCCCCTGGCATACGTTGTTTTTAAATGTGCTTAATTTTAAAATGAATTGACTGTTTCTAGCAGCTATTTTGAAAGGCAAACCACTTATTGTTCATTTAGTGTATCTAAAATAACTACATACAATTTATTCTCTATAAATTTGCAGGTCTGATACATTTACTATTAAATGTTTCTCAGCATTAATTTAACAGAAATGCACTTGAGTTAAGAGGCTAAATGAAAACATAAAGCAAACACAACAGGACCAAGGATGAAACTAATATTCATCAGCCCAAAGACACGGAGCCACGCTGAGGAAATGATACGAGTGAATTACTCAATCAAGATCATGTTTGTGTGCTGTGAAGCCAGAACGTAGCAGGAGGCACCACTGAGATATCATTTATGGCTCTGGAACACAAGCTGTTTATAATTTAGTGTAAGGAGGGTTGTAACCTCCCAGAATATTCAAGGTGGAAAGTTTTCAGGGGAATTATAGGGAATAAAATGGGAATATTGGGGTTATTTCCTCAGACTGTGTTTACAGTGTCATTCTGTGTGCAGGTAGCGACAAACCTTAACCATCATAAGCAGACATAATTGTAAACCCTTCCACCAGAGATAAGAAAAAATCTGCAGTGTAGTTGAGGTGAACTTTATTGAACATTTTAACATTAACACTTTAACATTTTATTGAACTTTCATTGAGCAATGATAACTAAAAATCCTGATGACCTTGCTCCAAAATAACAGATTTCTCTTGAAATAAAAACATTCAGGCCTCCACATCCTCTCCATGTCAGATTTTACGTTGTTTTCCAAAATTTCTGAGTGTAATTTCCATTGGCAAATTTCTGAAAACCAACAGACTCTTGCAACCTTAGGTATACTTTGAACATAAAAATGTAGCGAGACGAAGTATTGCTTTTTTATGTACATGTTTTCCCCTCAAATAATAATGTATAATTTCGTTTTTATATTGAAAGTGTGAAAAAATCCTGAGCTTAACTTCCCTTGTGAAATCTGGAAATTTAAACCCTTTATAACCTTAGTTCTAACAATGTAATGTATCGTGCAGAAAGTGATGATTTTACCATGTGCATCAAAGAACTCGTCGTCTGTACTGTCCTCTGAGTCTCGGGCGATGCTCTGCATCCTCCACTCTGAAATGCTCTGGTGAGACGGACTTCCTGTAAACATAAACAACACAACAGGAGGTTGTGATGTTAAAGGGATCGTTTAAGTTTTTTGAAGCAGGGTTGTAAGAGGTACTTATCCATAGTCAGTGTATTACCTACAGAAGATGGCAGTCAGCATGTCCCAGTTTGGAGAAGCAGACAGGAGTACTGCCACAAAGGCTAAACAATGTACTGCTGTGGACGGGGGCAACAGTAAAACTAATTATAGCTGACTTAAAAATATCAGTATCAGTTTAAAGGAGCAGTGTGTAGAATTTAGTGGCATCTAGTGATGAGGATTGCAGATTGCGACCAACTGAAACTTATCCCATGTGCCAAGCTTGAACTCCCAACCAGAATTTCAGTTTTCTATGTTCAGTGTTTTTACTGGGAGCCGAATTATCTGCAGACGTCTCTTCTTCTCCAAAACAAACCAACAAAGTGATTTAAAACAGTAAAAACACTAAAAAAAGCAGTTCCAAGTTAAAAATCAGTGTTTTTCCAACACTGTTTGGCTGATTGTAGAGGGGCCGCTATGGTGGCAGAAAAGCAAATGGTCCTATCTAGAGCCAGTGTTTGGTTTGTCCGTTCTGGGCTACTGTAGAAACATGGCGGTGCAACATGGTGGATTTTGTGGACAAGAACCTGCTCCCTATGTAGATATACAGTTAATTCTAGGGTGTTTAAACACTAAAAAAACATACTTATTTAAGTCTAGTCTACTTCTGCCGATGCATTGCCCTAAATCCTACACACTGGGCCTTTAAGTGTACGCTGTATTTAGGATATTTTAACTGCTTTACGTTGCCATCAGACTGTGATTTCTGGCAGGGAACTGAAGCAGTTATATCACTCTCTCTTCAAAGCCAGACTCCATTGACAAAAACAGTAATTTTACCTCACTGAGCACAGGAACTGTTGGTCTACCACCTCTTGAATTGGTTAGTTTGTGTGTGTTATTGTGCAACTTTGGTGTTTTAAAGGGTTAGTTTGGATTCACCAAAGTCACACAATAACACACACAACCAACCAACTGAAGAGTAGCTCTTGGGCTGTCTGACAGCAAGGTAAAGTGGTGAAAACACTGATATTGATTTGTTTAGGGGCCTAAAACACGTGCAGTACATTGCTTTGCTTCAGTGATGGTACTCCTGCCTCCTGCCAAACTGGGGGTTTGCTGAACACCAACTGCTGGAGGCAATACATTGACTGTGGATAAGTACCTCTTACAACGCCACTTTAAAACATCTGAATTGTCCCTTTAATCTTATAGAAATGACCCTGTATTTATACTTAATATATAAATGAATGATGAAAAGCTGAGGCTCGTCCTCACCGCCTCTCTTTGACGACCTGTTGGAGGATCTCGAGGATGTCGACCACTGCTTAGTGAGCTCCCCTCGTGTCTCCAGTGAATCTCCCAGCTTCCCTCCTCCTCCTCCTTCGGCCTCTGCAGCCGATCCCACAGCCTCAGCTTCCTGCTCCTGGTCCTGGCTGACGGAGGAGCCATTGGTCTCTGTTCCCCCCTCTTCATTCAGGCTGTACTGGGCCATCTTCTTAGCTAAAGCCAGCTGGGTCTCCAGCTCCAGCTGCCTGATGTCCTCGATGGTCAGGCCGTACCACTCGTCCTGCCAGCACCACGCCTGCCGGTGGGCTCGAACCATCACTTTGCGCAGACCTGGAGGGACAGCAACAAGGATTTATGGGTGTTTAAGAGAAGAACAAATCATATTTCTGTGACATCAAACAACTAAAGTGGATTATTATGGTTGACAAATACATAATTTTTGTCAGAGATTCACAGTTAAGACCATCAGTTTAAGGTCCTGAGCAAAGGTGTAGATTTGATTTCAGACATGAGCAGGGAAGTCTGCTGTTCCTCAACCGGACCAAAAGAAAGGGAAATCTGTTTAAAGCAAATTACACATTATAATGATGAATAATTCATTAGAAATGTGACCTAAATGTCTGTTTTTATTGCGCTAACACTGAATTCATTGGTAGAAAATTGAGAGATAATTCTGCAGTAGAATTATATAAAATAAAAATAGAAATATATAAAAACTAACAGACTGAAATGTTTATTTTATTGTTAAAATTAAAATTAAATTAGGTTTCTTTCTTGTTTCTTCTTTGTTAAGTGTCAATAAAATATGTAAGAATATTCCAACCTGATTTTTTGACTTGTTTCAAATATTTTCTAAAATCAAATTAAATTTTTTATAATTTTAGTGCAGCCACCTGCTTCATCTTTTATTTCAAGCCACAAAGACTTATGAATAGGTAATCTTAACCACTTCAATTTTTAACATTTTCTACCACCAAGAAGCATATTTATATATTTTATAATTATTTAATTTATTTCTTATTTTTTTATAATTCATTCTCTTACTCATTATTTATTACACATTGCACTTTAATTGGTACTTGTTGCACTGACACTTTAACACTGCTGCTCTTAACTTCTCAGGGATGTCTTGTATTGTTTTCAATGTGTGCCTTTTCTTAAATGTTTTTATTTATTTATTTATTTATTTATATAGACAGAAGCCAACACAATTTCATTGTACATGTTTTGTATAATGACAAAGTTTCATTCATTCATTCACTTTATTATTGGTTAGGAGAAGAACATATACCCTATTAATTTCACACGGGAAATAAATTATTCGTAATATGTTATATTTGTCATTATCACTATTGTTTAAATCAGAGTATTATTATCATGTTTGTTTATTCATAATTTACCTTTTTTCTGCAAGTAAATTTGCATTTTTCTGTTTCTTTTTTTTTAAATGTATTTTTCATGTCCCAAATTTTTGATCCACATATGGTGATAAAAACTGTGATCATTATAAGCCATTTCCTCTGTTGTGCTATTTTTAATTTAAATACTCCTGAGTATAATTTTAAAGCAGTGGTTCCCAACTGGTGGGTCGCGGCCCAAAAGTGGGTCATGGGTCCATTCTGAATGGACCACAAGTGACTTGGGAACGTATCAACTTTGTAAAAAACACACTTTATTTTGAAGTACAGTGAATTTCCAGCACAGAGTTTTTATTTTGAAGTGCCATTTCCTGCTGTAGAGTGAGTGACTATCAGACAGCTACTTGACAGAGACAGCAAACTAGCTCGATTGACGTGGCCAAACACAAGTATGATGCTGAATATATTAAATCTTAAATCTAAATCACTCATTTAGACAAAAGTAGATTGGAAAATAGGGCCCAGGTTGAAAAAAAAAGTTAGTTCCCCTTTAAACTAATGACTAAGGAGAAATCTGGACCAGTTGGGAGTCAATGCTTTAGAGGGGAAATGTGATAATCATTCGCTCTGACAAACAGATTTGACAAATATATTTGGTATCATCCTGACACATAATTCTTCTGCTGCACTCAGGTCTCCCGTGCAAAACAAATCTTGATCTTAATGACATCAAACAAGCCTTATTTATATCTGAAAATACATCCCAGATACAAACAACAGACTGTAGAAACCCCTGGATCCTCTAAACGAGACTGAACGGTGATCCATCAGAGGAGATTTAATTTTTATCGGTCTTTCTCTTGATGAACTAAACAAGCAGCAGCTGGTTATAAACGCTGAACCCTCTGAGCAGATCATGATTAAAACATCCAGCCTGGTAATAAACGCCAAAATTAGCAAACAGAGAAGCTATTAAATTAATATCCAGTGGAAATAACCACAGACGCATTAATAAAGCTTGAGAGGTTCTGTTTTATACGACCCAGAGACCCTCCCAGCACCATTTATAATAAAGACACTATGTTAGAACTGGTTTAATCAGGTTTAATGTTGATGATGAGATGTGGTGAATATGTTAGAGTAGACTCCCAGTAAACAGCTGCACGTGATATGAGATAAAAACAAAGGAAAACTTCTATAAAGCATGTGTTTTGAAGAAGCAGTGGATGCAACAGGGACCAAAAGAAAATACATTCATGGCTGCAGATCTGTTGATTAGAGCGGAGTGAGAATGCCATGAAGATAGAGCAGCTGCTGCTTCATTAGCCTGGAAGTAAATGCTGCGAGGGAGCGAGCTGAGAGACTCTGTGTATAAACAGTCTTAAATCACAGCAGAGGAACAGAAACACCGGCAGGAAATTAATCCAGTCTGTTCTGTTATCTCAGGGAGCCAGACTTCTTCTCTGCGCCTCTCCAACACGCTCTTTAAGGTATCTTTAGTATTTTATTTATTTGTTTTACCTGTCTTCTCACTATTCCTCACACTCACCTTCTTCTTTTCTTCTTCCGTATCTACCCCTCGTCTCTCGCTCCGCTCTTTATCATACAGTTTTCATTAATCAGTGGTTTATCATTAAAGAGATCAGGAACTTCTTCACTTCCAGATCCTATCTGAACTGTTTGGTAATTAGGGTTAGGACCTATTTAGGAAAAAAGTCATTACAGATGAACAGGTCCTTCGTCAATGCTCCTACCCTAACTTAAGATAGAAAAAGTGTATCACACAAGCACCCTAACTTCCCAAAATCTTAAAGAAGCTTTATGTAAAATCCAGAGTGTGTAAGTTGCACATGGGTCTCAACAGGGAGGTGGCAGAACAGAAGCTGAAAAATAATATGGGTCATTTTTGGAAGCACAGAGGCTAACATCTATTGGTATATCTGACACTCCCCTGGACTGGTTCAAATCATATCTCTCTGGCTGCACTCAGTTCATTCAGTTAAAAACCTTCACATCCCAACCACCTCCCCTCTCCTCAGGTGTTCCCCAAGGCTCTGTCCTCGGTCCCATCCTGTTTATCATCTATCTCCTCCCTCTTGGTCATATATTCCGTAAATACAATATCCATTTCCACTGTTACGCAGACGACACTCAGCTCTACCTTTCCACCAAACCCACCTCCACCTTCCCGCCCTCCTCCCTCTGTGACTGTTTACAGGAAATCAAATCCTGTTTTTTTCAAATCTCCTTAAACTCGACAGTGACAAAACCGAGGTTCTCCTCGTTGGCTCTAAATCCACCCTCACTAATACTCCCAGTTTCTCCATCACCATTGACAACTCCTCTGTATCCCCCTCCACTCAGGTTAAGAGTCTGGGTGTCGTCCTTGACAGCACTCTGTCATTCCAAACCCACATCAATAACATTACCTGGTCAGCCTATTTCCATCTACGTAATATTAACTGTCTCCGTCCGTCCCTCACCCTCAACAGCGCTGACATCCTGGTCCACACTCTGGTTACATCTAGGGATGGGAATCGAGAACCGGTTCCTGTCAAGAACCAGTTCCAACTGCTTCAATTCCTCGACATCATTAGCCATTATGCTTATCGATTCCCTTATCGATTTTTTTCATTACGCCAAATCTTTACGTCAATGACGCACATCACACTCGTCAGTCAGCAGTACGTTCAACAACAAAGAAGACGTAATGGTGGAGAGACAGAAGCGGTTGAAAGCTTGGCTTCACTTCACCAAAAAAGACCCATGAAATTCACTCATCACAACAGCATGACGTGCAATTTATGCAGCACCGTAATTACATGCAAGGGCGGAAACACCACCAATGCTACAGTGATTTGTTTTCCACTACAGGGCTCTACTGTGCGAGCATTTTAACGTTACTCGCATTTGCGACTAAATATAGTTTTGTGCGGGCAAAAGAAATCATTCAGCATGCTGTGCAAGTACAGATTTCAACCAGCAACAGAAACGAAAGGCGAAACCTGCCGGTTGTGGGTTGAACGGGGGTCACAGACAGGAATATGTATTCCTGTCAAATATGGCGGCCATAGTGCTCCGCAGCGCAAGATAAAGGCTTACCGGCGACCGAGAAGCCCGGCTCCAGGTGAATAAGTTGGTGTCATGACTGCCCAAAAGTACCTGAACAGCCGAGCCATGGCAGCACACAGGTATATGACGTGTCAGAGGAGAAACAAGCCGTTCACGGCCCACAAACCTCACCGCACTTTAGGGACTGTTCTTTACTTATGAAGGGACTGTTCTTAACTTGTCAGGGGAGGAGGGTGGCTGGTTGATTTTTATTTTATTTATTTATTTTATTTTGATCCCCCCTATGTTAATCACTTATTGATGCTGTTTTTGAAGTATGAATAAGTCAATAAGTAATTTATTCCATTGAAATATCATTGATGTATTATAGAAAAGTGATTTATCTTTTTATAAATGACAAAAGGCACATCTGCCTCATTTTCGCTGTGGTGTCGTGATACTACTCAGAACCGTGATACTTTCACTGGTATCGTACCGTGGGTCCCAATTTTGGTACCGTGACAACACTAACAGATTCTGTAACGTTATCTGACGTAGATGAAAACAAATGCTGTGCAAATATTCTTTCATTTGTTCCATTTTAGATGATAGCAGTGGACCAATTTCATATTTTGTTTACTTACTTACTTAGCACTTATCTCTTGTTTAGAATAGAAACTCAATAAAATTCATGTTGTTGACACCAAAAACCTGTAAGGTCTACTTTTTCTACACTGAAAATTCACAGGAGGAATCGATAAGGGAATCGATGAAGAATCGGATCGATAAGCAGAATCGATAATGGCATTGATATCAATAAAATCCTATTAATTCCCATCCCTAGTCACATCCCACCTGGATTACTGCAACTCCCTTCTCTTTGGCCTCCCCCACAAAGCCATCCATAAGCTCCAATTGGTCCAGAACCCGGCCGCCCGTATCATCACCAGAACTCCATCCATCAATCATATCACACCCATCCTAGAACAACTTCACTGGCTTCCAGTCAAATACCACATGGACTTTAAAATTCTGCTCCACACTTTCTAGGCCATCCAGAACCTCGCTCCCGCATACCTCTCTGACCTCCTCCACATCAGCACTCCCTCCCGGTCACTCAGGTCGGCCTCTTGCATCAGCCTCATTGTGCCCTCTGCCCGTCCGTCCACCATGAGGTCCAGAGGCTTCAGCCGCTCTACCCCCGCCTCTGGAACTCCCTCCCTCCCTCCCGACATCAAGAACATTGACTCACTATCCACTTTAAAATCCCCCCTGAAAACCCACCTTTTTAAACAGGCCTATTCCACTTAATTGCCATTGCTCTGCTGCAGATTTCACATTTTTACTGTTGATGTTGGTGTGTCCTTTACCCCTTTTAAATTTAACTGTCTGTCACTTTCTGTAAGGTGACCCTGAGTGCCTTGAAAGGCGCCTTTAAATAAAATGTACTATTATTATTATTATTATTACTATTACTATTATTAGAGTCAATCCATGCTGCACTAATTTGCATTTCCTTATCAGTTTAGACATGCCATACCATGCCGAGCTTCCCTCAGTGAGAATGGACTTTAAGAGTCGCATGGCAGACCTTGACGATGACAATACACTCCTTAGTGGATACAGGCTGCCCCAGGCCTTGATTCTGCTGTTAGCCAAGCAACCGCAACCAGCTTTAGAGTGGCCAACCGGCAACATAGGGAGTTTTCAGGTTGTGGTGCAACCGACAAATGTGCTTGGTTTTATTCTGCAAGAGGAGATTTTCGAAGTGTCTGACTTAGTAAAAATACCTCAGCTCGATGTCGATTCACAGATAAAAAGAAAGAGAAAAGGGAAGAAACTGCCTGAAAGGTGACTTGTAAAGACTGCACATACTCTCAAGGACACACACACACACACACCATCTGCCATACCTACCCACGTCGTGTATGAAGCGCTCGATCTTGGACTGCATGCCCCAGTATCTGAACTCCACTTTGCAGAGCTTGTAGGCACACATGACAGGGCTTTCACCGGGATTCTGGTTGATCTCCTCGATCCAGTCGTCGGACAGCGGACCCCGTTTGGTTTTGACTGACTGGTAAAGTTTGGGGTCTTCTTCCACCAGGTACTCGTGAGGAGGGATGTAGTCCTTTACGATGTCTATGGGGTCTGAAGGGGAGAAAAGTCATTATGAATCATATAAATCAAAGCAAAACTGAAGCAGATGTGAGCAGCAGGTGTGAGCAGGACAGATGTCACCACGTACTGACTGAACACCTGTCTCTAAAGGTGTGTGTGTGTGTGTGTGTGTGTGTGTGTGTGTGTGTGTGTGTGTGTGTGTGCGTGAGAGAGTTTTATGTAACAGCTCCCTGCAGGGAATGTGTCTGCACATTTTTCTCTGCACCCCGGTGAATTTTAATATTCAGAGGCTCAACATGAGCTCTTACACTCCCTCAGTCTGTATCCTGAGTCCTGATCCTGCTCACCATTAAACAGGAGTCCACTCTGGGTGGCAGAGAGTGTGTGTGTGTGTGTTTTTGTGTGCACGATGAAGGACTTACCTACAGTCCTCTGTCTCTTCTCAGCAGAGGACATATTGAAGACATCCACTTGATTTCCAGTATCTGGTTTATAATACGTTTCGATGTCTATAGAGAACTTCTCTACGAAGGGACAGGTGTACCTGACGAACAAGACAAAGAGTTATTCACGTGTTTTCCAAACACAAGTGTTTCTATTATTTCTATTTTATTTATTCATTTTTTGTTATCATCATTTCTAATTTATTTGATTTCATTTATTGATTTATTTTATATTACTCTTTCTATATTATTTGATTTATTTTTTATTGTTATTTTATTTTATTTAAAATTAGTCTATATAATTTATTACATTATTTATCTTATTGGAATTTCGATTTCATTTTTAGCATTTTTTTATTTACTATTATTATCATTATTTCTTTTTCATTTATCATTATTATTATTATTATTATTATTGATATTGTATTTAATTTATTTTTTTATCTTATTTAATTATTTCTGTTTTTCAATTTATTTATGATTATTATTATCATTATTGTTTTATCATTTATTTGTTATTATTTCATTTATTTATGTATCTACTTATTGACTATTATTGTCACTTCTATTTATTTTTTTACATTATTATAATCATTATAATTTCCATTTTATTTTGGCCATTCAATTATTATTTTTTTCTTTTTTATTGCATTTAATTTTTTATTATTATTGTTATTTATTTTATCATTATTATTTGTCTTATTCAATTTTGTTTCTGTATATTTTTATTTCCTAATTCATTTACTTTTGATCATCATTATTATGATGTGGGTAGGTGGAGGTTGATGGGTGGAGGAAGGGAGGAAAAGGAAGATGTGGATTCGACTGTTAATGCAATTCTGTAAAAAATTCAATAAAATCGTACTGGATGAAAAAAGAGAAGTCTGGATTTATGAGCCCAAAGCACCTTCCTCCATCACTTTGGCAGTTCCTGGTAACAAAAGTGAAATCCTTGAAGGAATCCACCCAGCTGTGACAATCTGCTCTATTAATCCACAAATTAAGTTGTGCAGAGGAAATAAAAAAAAGTTGATTATTCAGCTGAAATTGTTCCAAATAAAAAAACACGGCTCCATCAGCAAAATCGGCTGAGTGTTATTTCATCAATTTATATTCTTATGAATCTAGAAGCCATAAAATAAAAACCATTAAAATTGTTTTATCACTGAGAGTTCGGGCTTTGGACTTTAAATAATTCCACCCGCCTAAAATCACTTTGTGTGATATAGGTTTAACAAATGTTTCAGCACAGGGATGATAAGCACTGTTTTAATATCTTCATGTCCAAACGACCATCCATCATTTTTACTACACGTGTGATGAGTCATTTCCCTCGCTCAGTGTGGAGGTCTCACCGGGTGCGTGTGTAGGGGTAGGCGTTCCAGGACTCCTCCTCCACGCGCAGGGCAGCTTGAGGCAGGATGGCACAGAACCAGGACGGGATGTGTTTGCCGATGTGGTAGACTTTGTGCGTGTACTGACCCGAGCCGCCGGGGCCGTCCTCGTAAGGCTTGTTCTCCAGGATCTCCACGCCACTGCCCTCGCCACAGCTCTCTTCTCTGCTCTTTTTCTGCAGGGCGGCAGAGAGACGACAGGACAGAGTGAGGAGGGGAGACATAGCTGAAATTCATCAAACATTTAAAAAATCATTTTGTTGTTTTGCATTTTGTTACCTTATTTCACAGGTGGAGGTTTAGTTAGGATGAGTAAACCTCCATCATATACATCTAAATAATTATTGTGTTTTCCAAGAGAAATAAAGTAATACAAATGCTCTCTACTGTAATTTGATTTCCTCGACAGAGACATGAACTTTATGATAACTAATGATGTAAACAATAATGAACTCCAAACACTGAGGTGACATTTACAAAACATTTTTACTTTTTATTCATCAAGCAAAGACAAGTTTTCTTCCTTTCCGTTTAAATAATGTTCTACTTCTATCCTTTCTACAAGGAGCACTCAGCTGTTCTGCCCTATCTTTGATTTATGGTTAATTCTATTCTATTTTTAGGAAAATATGAACTGTTAACAAAAACAATCATTGCTTAGGGACAGCAGCTCAGCTCAGCAGAGGCCTCTTCCAGTTCAACTTGCCCAGGATATCTTTTTGTTATCTGGCTTGACAAACCCTAACATTGCCTGGATAACCAGACTAGTTCAGCCAGCTCATGTGAAAAAGGGCGGGGCGTTTATTATGAGTGACATCATCAGAACCATGAATGAAATCAGCTGATTCATATGATATGAAATGATAGGGTACTGAAAGTGTCTGCGACTGCTAGACAGTAAATTGTCAGCGGCGTGGGATGTAAACGATAAATGTGGAAACATTCAAAATACTATCCAAAAATTCACCGTCAGCAGAGAGTTAAGTCACACGCAGGTAACACTGGGCTATTTATTACATAAGTATAGAAGTCCTTGTGTTTGTGGTTATTTGCGCTTGTTTAAAAAAAAACCTGTTTTACTGACTGACTGTTTTATACCGTCATCGACTGCCAACGCGTCACTCTTCTTAACTGGTTGGTACAGGGTGCAAACAGCAAGCCTTACCATCCGTTGCATTCCACATTTTGGCCTTTTCTTTGGCTAAAAAACATCCACAGAAAAGTTTGGTCTCATTTTGAACAGGAGCATCTGCAGATGAGTTCCATACTTGGTATGTTACGATCCACTAAAAATCAGGCACAATGCGAGATGAATAAATCACCACAGTATTGAAGATTTTGTTGATTTGATCCTTTTTTTTAACTTAATATTTGTGTTTCTATCCAAAATAAGTAAGTAGGCTGCTTTTTAATGATTATAACAGTGAATTGTGCAAATTAGCAGGAAAGCCCAATCAGTCTTTTTTCAGCATTGGCAGTATAAAAACAAAATCGGGGAGTGCAGCAAAATGCCGCCTACCTACTTTTGTTTATACAGAATGTGCCTTTTTCGGGGCAATGGGGGGCGTGAGCAAGTAACAAAACGTGTAGCTCAGCGTGTGACGTAAACAGTGACGTGGGAGGGAAGCCGCGGCTGGTCAGTCCTTCGGTGATTCTCTCGTAAGTCGGCCCGTTCTTCACCGTCCCCGTCATCTGACGGTTAATGGCCTCTTCGTTTGCGAGGACAAGGAGGGCGCGCAATTCCTTGTCTCCCCAGTTGCTCATCTTTACAGTGTCTGTCAGGTTTGTGTTTCCCTCTTGCTACTAGCTGCTTGCTAATTCCTGCTATCAGCTGTTTCCTGTTTATCCACCTCCAGTGGCTCGCACGTGCAGCGTCATCAACAGCTCCTCCCACAAGTCATCAACAGCTCCTCCCGTTGTGGAGGGCCGCCTCGGTCTGTTTAAACTAAAAGGGTTCCACCAATATGTCTACCCTACGAGGAGGAAAATTGGGCACCTCGGATCAAATCGCCATTCCGGCTCTGTGTGTCTAAACGCTCGCAGCTTGCCGGCAAAACGGCCCAACATTCGCAGAAAATCTGGCAGTGTAAAAGGGGCTAAAGACCGACCCTGCTGTACAGGAACCAGTGAAGGGAAGCAGGGAAACTTTGCTGATATTCAACCAGCTGTGTGTCATCGCAGTGTGTGCAGATGAACGTTGTTTGACGTCCCAAACCAAGCCAAACACTGTTCATCTGCACACACTGTGATGCCACACAGCTGGTTCAATATCAGCAAAGTTTCCCTTTATATTCATTGTCTTGTGTGGCGATCAGCAGTGATGTTGTGGTTCACTTTTACACTGTGATCTGTAGCCTGTAGTTCGGCTTTAGCTTCAAACTATCTTTGTCTTTTTAACCTGTTGTTGCTGCTGAGTCAGTTTGATATCCTGGATATATCCTTCAAACACAGACTATAGACCCCTCTGTCTGCTTCTCTCTGACATCACTCTTTCACTTCTCCAAAAATATGATCATATTTATTCAGGGAGTGCAGTTAGTTACAGTGTGGGCTCCATGCTTACTCTGACAGCTTGTTGGACCATCACAAAGGGGCGGGGCTTGGTAAAAGATCAGTTGACAGCTAGGGTGAGGCAGAAAAACTACAGCCTTAGCATGAAAAGTATTGTCTTCCTGACGGAACTTTCGCTGGAGCTTCATTTGTCATCTGTCTCCAATAGAGGCCCCCTCATTTGAAAAATTACAAAGAATTTTAATGCTAAGTTGGCCGCTATAAACTGCATATATAAAATCTTGACACTGACAGGTGTATCAGGCGGTCTACTGTAGATAAACGTAGCAACATTTTAGTAAGTAACTCAAACTGAACCCCTCTGGCCCTGCTCTCTTGTTAAACGTGGGGTTGGACGATGATTCAGCAGCAAGTCCAACCTCCTCCTGCCCTGCTGGCCTGACACATATCCTCCCTCCTTTCCTTTAACTTCAAATTAAACCCCTGAGACCCTTACACAGCGCTCCTGTCTCTGATTCGGGGTGTTGTCCGACCTCACAGCGCTGGATGGATGATGCAGCGGAGGCAAAGTGATGAGCTGGAGAGAAAAAAGCTGCCATATGGAGAAATAAAGAAGAATCTGCTTTTCTTTAAATCCTTAAATAAATTATTTGAGTCACATCTTCCAGCTCACTTTGCCTCTTCTTCTTCTTCTCTCCTCTCCTTCTGTGCTAAATAATCCAAACTCTATTAAGTGTTTAATTTTTACTGAGGAGTTCAGACTCACTGCATAGAGGAGGTGAAATCAGAGGTTTCTTTCGCCACATCAGCCGATGGTTCAACCCCACAGATCCCGTAAGACTGGGCTGTGCATTAAGAGGAAGTCGTGGATTACAGTTTAAAAACATCTTCTTAAGAGGCTCGCCATTTACCCCGTCAGGGTTGTCCAGTGCTTATATGGCTGGTAAAATATGTTAAACTCCTCCAGGATACAGGAGCCAAATCATCTACCTTTAAGTTTCAGGAGAGCCGATTAAACAGTGATGAAACAAGTTATTCATTTTTTTGAGGAAAATGTCAAATGCACTCTGTGTCTGTCTTATAAAGGTGCAAAATGTGCTGCTTTTCTTAGGTTTTATATCACTGTGGATTCAACATTGATAATACTGTTGTTTGGACAAAACTATTTGAGGACATCACCTTCGGCTCCAGGAAATTTTGATGGCTATTTTTACCAATTTCCTTGACGTATTACAGCCATTTTATGGTCAATTTATTAATAAATAAAAAATAAAAACACCTCAGCAGCCATATTTTTCAGTCATCCTTCTCATTCATGTGTAAAACAACACCTACACTTCAACTATAATCAATGGATTTGATCAGTGTTTGTTCAAATACGTTCTCTTGGCTCTTAACTCTTAGCGAGACCCCAGTTCCTCCAATGCAGAGGACATTCGAAAAACTACTTTCCAAAGCTGACTGATAGCAGCAGGGCAGTTACTTTGCATATGTGGACAGATAACTTATGCAAAATTGGCTATCTTCGTGCATTACATCATTACTTAATGGGAAGTGGTGGCACAGGAGGCAGAGCAGATCGTCTAATCAGAAGGTTGGCGGTTCAGTCACCACTGAACCCAAAACGGTAGCCTCGGAAAGATTTGAAAGGCGCTATATAAAAGCAAGTTCAAGTCCACTACATCAACAATAAGTGGAAGGTGACTGAGCGAGTGCTTTGCACGTGAGAATGGGATGGTATATTACACAAAACAGGGTGTTTAATCACGGGTCAGGTCATGGGACTTATATTAACTTGACCTGGAGGTAATTACGGGTAACAGGTTGGTTCTGGTACTGAGCTTTGTGAGTGCAGGGTTTGCAAAACTTAGACTCCAGATCTGTGTATCCCTATCTATTACAACAGAGTGAACCTGGGGCTCTTTGAGGCCTCTTAGGGTCTAAGGTAGGGTTGGGTCGGTTCTCGGTAATACCAATTCTGTTCAGTACTCCGAAGAGAGAGAGGGGGTGGGGTGGGGCAGGGACTGAGCTAGGGGGTGTAATGCACATGCGTCGAGGCCTCTACTGTAGCCTGCAGTTTGTTTAACAGTTACGTGGAGGCGATAATGGCGGACAATTTAGTCTCGAAGAAATCAAAGAATGCGCCAATATGGCAACACTTTGGCTTTGAGCCAGACGAAGGAGGCAACCCTTGTTTGCACTGACTGAGTAAGCTGCAAAATTTATTTGTGGAATAAAAGAAACAACGTGTTAGTTAGACTAAAACCAAACTTTTAAAACACATGTAAACATGTTAGTCTGACTGAAATCAAATTTCTCAAAGTTGGACTAACACACCCAGATCATGTGACTCCTGCATGTATACAGTCAATCAGACCCAAACTGGCTGAGGCGCTCTGAGCATGCTCCACAGGCTTTGACCCGGAAGTCCAATAGCATTAAATGTGTAAGAGAAGAAGAAGCCGGTAACAACATGGAGAAATCTACATCCAGAGCCGTGACTTTTTGGACGGACCAAATGTACAGAGCTGTAAAGTTGTCCACCATGGTAGCAGTTAGCTGCTAGCTAACCGTAGCTAACTTGTTTGTCCATTGTTTGGTCTGTGTCGTAATAGGTCAACAGGAAAAAGGTCCAATACTAACAAGCTGAAAGGGGGCATATCTC